AATGTCAGCCGCCGAGTCCCAGCCAATCGCGCCGGTAGCCAAAAGCTGATTGGCTAGATGGACCTAGCTCACAGTCGTTTGTTACCCTAAATTTGTTGTACCTTTTAGACTCAAAGACTTGCGCTGACTTGCTATAACGTGCTTGTCTGAGTAAACGCACTCTTGCTCTGGCCGACCGGTCTTCTCTCTGTCGTTCTCTTACGGGCTCTTTGGTTCGGCGTTCGTGTTAATTAGAAGTACCAGGCGCAGGTCATAACACACTAGTTGGCAGTCTTGCTCGTAGAAATAACAATAGATCTACTGAATGAGATCGACCTTGTGCAAGCGTTCTTAAACAAACCCTAAACCCAGCGTTCTTTCAGTGGTGCTGAAGACTTTCAAGATCCCTAAAAGCACTAGGAAGGTCCAATGATCAGACGAACTCCCCGAAGCTGGGTTATGTGCAGCGGTAAAAAATTAGCGAAACACGCGTGTCTGGCCTATTAGCCAGTACTCGTGCATAGACTATGCTGAATTAATTAGCAGTCTGTTGGCAGCTGCACTAGTTACCTGTTCACGATATTTGCTCATGATCATCTCGAGCGCCGACTGATGCTCAAACAGGGACTTCTCAAGAGTGGAGTTTTGCATTCTCAGCTGTTCCAGCTGCTTGTTCTCAGCTGCCAGGCAGAGCACCAAGGGACGTCGGGGGCTCTTCTCGGCGCGTTTCGCAATTTCAGCATATTCCAGTGACTCCTCGCGATACTGAAAGGTGGATGCGAAAGGAAGGGTTGGCGGGTTGGACAACAGGAAGTACCAAGAGCACGAACAGTCAACAGCGTGTCACGCTGTCACTTCAAAGTGCCAAAGCAAGTGGACACGACAAACAGTTAAAAAAATACCCAATGATTCACTTCGAAGGCAGCTCACGTTAGTAATGTTTCTAGGTGAAACGGCAGTTATTGAATGAACCACGTACTGCTATCTTTATATACAGCAAGTGACTGATCGCATTCAATGTTAACCAAAATTTTAAAATGCATTTTAGATTAGGATAATAAGTCATGTGGAAGTGTTGTATTCTTTTTTTTATTTGGGAGCATAACTCCACGACAGTTCAGAGACAGCAGGAAGCCCACTTTTGAGCCAACGCCTTTTCGGTCCCCTGAAAAGCTTCGTTCGATAAAAAAGGGCAACCTATTTAGTGTGAACTACCCCTGTGGATTTTCGATGACTTAACAAATTCAAATGTATTTTATGCAAAAAACATAAACAACAGTATTCCCTCTTGCCATCAGTTGATGGGCAATTTTGACTTTTTTTAACATTTCAGTTCGAAGGAAGGAAGGCTGCACACTGTCTATTCAAGTCGAATCTTATCTGTTTGTTTATTAATACTGTCATTACATGAATCATGTACAAAGGGAAATGTTCGCCTCAAAATGCAAGGTAAGCGCTTGCTGGTTATGGCTTTTGACACTCTACCTTCTTGGAAGTAATTTGACGAACTAAGTGGCATTTGAGCAGAAGTTCTATGCATTTCTAAAAAGCCAAATATAGATGCATAAAGTTGAGGGGTTTTGGCGACACGGCAGCAGACTGCTGCAGGAAGGAAAGGCCTTAGATGAGTTATTGGAGCACCCACTGATAAAGGGGACCCTGCCACACTGGTTTTAGTCTATTCAAAAGGAAAAGGCAAGGACTCTGGAGCTGAAAATTTTTCGCTTTGGCTAGACCATATTCAGTTGACCCAATTTTGAAAAATTCGCGGCCTCGGTGGGAGTCAAACCCATGTCAGCAGGGAAGGATTTTGCGCAGCCAACGCTCGTCCATTGAGCTACGAGGCTCACCATGAATCTAATCACACTTGGGTCGATTTACCCGTCCAACCTACTGTCCTCCTAATAAACCATGTTAGGTTTGCCTCAATCCTTTAGAGGTTTTCAGACGCTCCCCTTCATGGGTATTTAACAGGACAATTCAACCTGGGCGTTGAAAGCAATACAAAAAGCCAAGCGTGTCCGTTCCAGAACAATGAAACAACCAATGAGGATCGGTGTGGGGCAACAAGCTACTGTTACAGAATAAAGACTTAAACGGTAGACAATGGAAATCCTGGCCACTAAAAGTTGTGCTGTTGATTTTTACGACTTCAGAGGTGACAAAGAAGTAAAAAAAACTTGCCTGTCGCATAGCTTCAAGCTGGAGATTGAGCTCGGTGGCCTTGTTGAGAAGTTCATCTGCTGTCTGCTCTCGAGTGCGCATCCTCTTCGAAAGGAGCTGAACATCCTTAAGGATTTTGTCCACCGTCGATTTCATTGTTCCAGCTAAAAAAACAGAGCAGATGTGGCGCTGGCTGAAAAGTGATACGGTCAGAAACTAAAAGTGACTGCAGTCCGAGATTTCACTCGACTGAATGCGTTGTTAGGGAGGGAATCGGACGGAATTTAAACTACTGTGCAGTATAGAGGCATTCAGGTGTACAACGGAATTAAAAATAGCTGATGCGCACAACAGTTGTGGTCAACCGATCAAAAAGAAGGAAAACGACTACACGAACCGAAGCGTCGGCGGAACATCCCTACATACTCGCAGAATAATTGAGGACGATGATAATTATTGCACAAATGCGGTTCATGATGGGAAATTTGATCAGGGCTGAATACAGTCACTCTCACTTCGCAGGTTCTACTGGGCTCAAATGAGGAGCGTCCGAGTCTGGGTTAATAAAGACACGCGAGCGAGGTGGCCGAAAAACGGTTCACGTTTTGTCCTGATCTATCTGCATAAATGCCTTTTGCTGGTCCCGCCTGCGCGGCCACTGACCTGTCTAACATTAGTGATACTATCCCTTACCCACGCCCCTCCTAATCCTGTGTGCGTCCTCTCACGGACAGTTCCAATGCTGGAATAATTTGTTTAGCAAAAACAATCCGGGACTTTGATATTGGTCTCCGTTCGAGAGTATGATTAACAAACCACTACTGTTTTATATAAACTCGGTCATGTTTGCAAAGGGTCGTCGGTAAAGACAATTTTAAGTAAACGATATACATAAATACTCCTTTTGTGTTCACTTGGCAGAGAATTGCACCTCTTTAATTTTTCACTTGAAGCGTTATCGGTTCAAAAATACCTTCTTCGAATAGTATTGCATTTATAATACCATATGCTTACACTTCTTCTCATGGTTTGCTAAGTATGCAGTATAGACCGGCTGTAAAATGACATACTCTATATCACTCTCTCCGTATAAAGTGGTCTCTTGGTGCTGAAGGCATAGCAAAGCACGCCGATTATACTGTAAGCGCCACCAAAAACTCGTGCAAATCAGTTTAAGCGAAAAACGATGCAAGTCTGCGGCCCTACCGCATGCAAGTGTGTTAGAAAGCCGTAACTCCTCTCCTTCAGGAAAGAAGTTTTTGCAGTGCGTATCTTTTCAAAAAGAGTACTGGCAGACATCCAGGACAATCACATCTAAGAAATACCCTTTTATTAAAATACCGCAAATCAGAGAATCTAGTATTTTCACAGCAGTGATTTCTTCCAGATCACGAATCAGAGGGGTTACTGTCAAAAACAAGCCTAAAGTTAGGCTCAGTGTTAATCCGCATTACAAAGGTTTGCATGTAATGCCCTACGTATGGATTCAAACTAAAATATCAGGACAAATGTTGGCAACAGTAGTTTATGTAGTGCCCCTCATTAATCCCTAGTCCCAGCATTTTGTCCAACGAAAACGGTGGTTATAGGATTTTATGGGTGGGGAATTAGGATGGGCAGTGGAATATGCTTTAATAACTGCTATGTGCATTTTTATTTTAGTGTATTTAGAAATGTTGTTGATTTTTGGCTGCAGATTTTCCTAGTCTGTATTATCGTTCAACGTATTGCGGAAAACCCGATTATAGAATTGCACGTTTCTTGAAATTCCTGAAAAATAGAAATGGTAGTTAGGAGGTCGTCTACTTCAACTTACCGTTCTGGAACTAGACTAATATAGTCCGCGGCGCAAAGCGTCGCGCACACCTTCAATTTGCATGCGGAACAACGTACTCCCAGCGACCGGGGGAAACAAATTCGACTACATTTTTCACTTTAC